CAGGCTCCAGGGCTTCCTCCATCTGGGCCGCCCTGCCCTCCTGTGCGTCACCCGCCGCAGCCATCGCACCTTCGGGGTCCCAACTCTGCAGCACCCCTGGGGTTTTCCACCCCCTTCAGCTTCAGCCGACTCTTTAATCTCCCACTTTTGCAGCTGCTTTGCCTTAAATCGCAGAAAGCAAAGGAAAGGGCAGGGGGGTGGCTGGAAATAAAACCTCTCCCTGGATGGTCTGAAAGAAGAGGCAGCCCTGGGAAAGCTGGGAGCATCCCGAGGGTGTTGGGAAACCTCAGCGCCGGCTCTGGCCAGCCTGCTTTTGGGGTGGAGGTGCAAAAATCGGGAGTTGGGATTCGGCTTCCTGAGACGCGCTAGGAGTTTTAGCTGCCTGTATGGATAGAAACTATTGCAAGCCCATTGCAAATCCATTGCACACCTGTTGCAAGCCCATTGCAAACCCCTTGCAAGCCCCTTTCAAGCCCATTGCAAGCTTCCCATTGCAAACTCACCTCTTGCAAACCTCGGAAGCCCATTGCAAACTCCTTGGAAGCCCATTGCAAACCCATTGCTTGCAAACCTGTTGCAAGCCCATTGGAAACCTCGGAAGCCCATTGCAAACCCCTCACAAACCCCTTGCAAGCCCATTGCTTGCAAACCTGTTGCAAGCCCGTTGCAAGCCCATTGGAAACCTCGGAAACCCATTGCAAACCCCTCGCAAACCCATTGCAAGCCCATTGCAAGCGCATCGCAAGCTTATTGCAAGCCTATTGCAAGCCCAATGCAAACTTATTGCAAACCCCTTGCAAGCCTCTTGCAAACCCCTTGCAAGCCTATTGCAGCCTATTGCAAACCCGTTACAAGCGCATGCAAGCTTGTTGCAAGCTCATGGCAAGCTCGCTGGAAGCCTGGACTATCAGCTCCCTGTTGCAGAAGCCACCCAAGCCCCCAGCTCGCCGATCCATATCTCCAGTTAAATTTTCTTTAATTAAATCTTTCCTGTTGGGAAAAACGATGGATGCACGAAAGCCAAAAGCGAAAAATCCCATCTTTCCTTGTAGCCTCCCCCTCGCAAAGCCCGGCGCCTCGCCGGGGCATCGCCCCATCGCTCCCAACCCAGCGGCTCAGCAGAACCCGCCGCCGGCCTCCGCCGGCCCTCGGCCTCGTTAGGGCTCATTAACGAAGCGGCCCTCTCGCTTTTCCGAGCTGTCAGTGCCCATTACCATCCGGGTCTCCTGCGCCCCGTCCCCCGGGCTGGGAACGGGACGGGACCGGGAGGATCAAAGGCAATGGGTGTCGAGCTCCAGCGGGGCAGAATAATTTAATAGAAAAGCTTATAATTTATTTTTACAAGGGTTTTTTTTTTGCTATTACCAGCTTTTTTTATTTTCTTTGCTATTACCAGTCTCGATTCAGCCTGTAAATCCTTGCTGCAAGCTCCCTCCGCTCCCTTCCCACCTCCACCACCAGAAAAAACTGGGGTTCTTTATTAATTAAGCTCAAAATTTTGGGCGAATCCCACTTTTCTCTTTCCAGGGAAATGCAGATTTGCTGGAAAGGCCGGGATGGGCGAGGGGGAGGCAGCGGGACGCCGGCGCGTTACCACTGCTCTCTGCTGGACCCGCCGCGTTTCCTGCAGCCGGAGCCGGAGCCGGACCCCGCCGGGCTGGGGCAGGGCAGGAGGAGGAAGAAGAGGGCTGGTGCTGGGGCAACCCCATCCCGAGCATCCCCATCCGGGGAAAAGCAGATGGCAGTGGAGATCCTGTGGCCCTGTGGGCAGTGGGGCAGTGTCCAGGGTTGCAACCCTCTCCCCAGCATTGCAACCCTCTCCCCAGCATTGCAACGTTCTTCCCAGCGTTGCAATCCTCTTCCCAGTGTTGCAACCCTCTCCCCAACATTGCAACCCTCTCCCCAGCATTGCGACCCTCTCCCCAACATTGCAACTCTCTCCCCAGCACTGCAACCCTCTCCCCAACACTGCAACCCTCTCCACAGTGTTGCAACCCTCACCCAGTCTTGCAACCCTCTCCCCAGCATTGCAACCCTCTCCCCAGTGTTGCAACCCTCACCCAGTCTTGCAACCCTCTCCGCAGCATTGCAACCCTCTCGCCAACATTGCAGCCCCCTTCTGAGTGTTGCAACCCTCTCCCTAGTGTTGCAACCATCTCCCCAACATTGCAAACTTCCCCCTGGTCTTGCAACCCTCTCCCCAGCGCTGCAATTTGTGGAAGGCTGCGTGTGTCCAGGCTCAAACTCTGCTGGGGAAGTTATTTGCCTTTTAGAAAACCAGAGCCCGCTGCAATCTCAGCTGGAGCTGCTTCTCTCCCAGGGTGCTGGAAGCACTGGGGGCACCAGTTTCACAGGGTGAGAAAACCTGGGCTCGGCCCCAGCGCTGGGATTTCTCTTGGGGTCTGGGTACGAAAAATGAAAATCCCTCACACCTGGGAACTCCTCAGTGCCCGGGCTGCTGCCGGGGCCTGGCTGGGGTGCGCAGGCAACGCAGCACCCCAGGAGCAATGCTAACTGCGCCGGCGCTAAATGCACCAACGCTAAATGCACCGATGCTTAATGCCCTGGTGCCAAATGGCCTTTTGCTAAATGTCCCAGTGCTAAATGCACCAATGCTTTATGCACTGATGATAAATGCACCAATGCTTAATGCCCTGGTGCTAAATGTCCCGGTGCTGAATGCCCTGGGGCTAAACGCCCTCATGCTAAATGCACCGATGCTAAATGTCCTGATGTTTAATGCCCTGGTGCTAAATGCAGCAACATTAAATGCCCCAACGCTAAACGCAACAACACTAAATGCACCGATGCTTAATGTCCCAGGGCTAAATGCACCAGTGCTTTATGCCCTGATGCTTAATGCCCTGGTGCTAAATGCTCTTTTGCTAAATGCACCCATGCTAAATTCCCCAGACGCTAAATGCATCAATGCTAAACACCCCAGTGCTAAATGCTCTGTTGCTAAATGCACCAATGCTAAATGCTCTGTTGCTAGATGCCCTCATGCTAAACACACCGATGCTAAATGCCCCAGTGCTAAATGCTCTGTTGCTAAACGCACCGGTGCTAAATGCACTGCTGCTAAATGCCCCAGTGCTAAATGCTCTGTTGCTAAATGCACCGGTGCTAAATGCTCTGTTGCTAAATGCACCGATGCCAAAAGCACCGGTGCTAAATGCCCCAGTGCTAAATGCTCTGTTGCTAAATGCACCGGTGCTAAAGGCACTGCTGCTAAATGCACCGATGCTAAATTCCCCAGTACCCCGACGCTAAACACCCCGGAGCCGACTGCCCCGGCACCCCCAGGGCAGCAGACCCACCCCAGCAGCTCGTCCTGCTTCCATGCGCCGGGAAAAAAAATTCACATCGCACCCAAGAGCAGCGGCTCCGTTTTGGGATCCCCCACCCCCCCCATCCCGGAGCGAGCGCCCCTCACCCCATCACTACGG